TTCAAAGGGTAAACCATTCTCCGGGGATGAAAAGTCAGGGTCCCCCCCCTCCTTTATTAGTAGTTTCCGGGGAGCAGCCGAAAAACCACCCCCTTTTATAAAATCCCCCGTTTTTTCGCTTTTTTTGGGAGCTTTAGACAAACGGCCGCTTTTTTGACCCCTGGGCCCCCCCCCCCCCCCCGCGCGCGCGCCACGACTTGGTTGTGCGCAGGTCGGACATGGCGGCGACGCCTCCTCCGTCGACGCGCTGACGGTTACGGCGAGCAACGAGTACGGCCGTTACAGCGACGCCGCTCTCGCCCTCTACGGGCTCGAGATGGTGGCGGAGCCCCACCGGCCTACGACGCTCACGGCCACATCTTCGGTTGCTCTTGGCGGCGGTGGGGGTGGTAGCGGTGGTGGTAGCGGTGGGGGTGTTCGTGGTGGTGCTGATACGGAGTCGGGGTCGTTGTCGGTATTTTCGTGGAAGGTTGTGGAGCTCGGCGAGGAGGAAGGGGGCCCCGCGGCTACGATATTCGAGGAGGAGGAGGGGAGGGCCGAGGTCTCCGTGGAGTTCACCAAGCCCGGCGGCGTTTACCTCCTCACCGTGGAGGAACGGTTACGGGCGGGCGCGGTGAGCCGAGACGGGACTGTCGTGTTGAACGCGGGCGAGACTGCTGTGATCGGGAGGGCGACCATCAAGGTGTCCTGCAAGCACGTGCGGCGGGAGTTGAGGGATTTGTCTGAGGCGGACCGAGAGGCTTTCTTGGATGCCATGGAGGCGTACTACGCGGTTTCGAAGGAGGACGGGCGGGCCAAGTATGGGGAGGGTTTCTTCGACTACCAGCTTTTGGCGTCGTACCATAGCGCGGACGTGAGTTGACGGATCAATTGTTGTCTTTGCTTTCGTTGCTGCTGTTGCTCTTTTTTCTCTTGCTTGGTTCTGGTGCTGCTAAGTATTATGTGGTACTGCAGTTGCGGTGAATTTCGTTGTGATTTTTTCAAAGTTTGTTTTCAGGCAAGGTAAAAGACAGTTGAGATGCGCGGCTCGACAACGCTCACCACACGCCTCTAACATGATGTCACCATGCCTTGCCCCCCCCCCCCCTCCATTTCTTTCCTCCCGCCAACCCCCTGTATAGTTAAAGAGTTTCTGTTATCACGCGGGGGTGCAGTTCTTGACGGCTCATGCGGCGTTCGGGCTGATGCTGGAGCGATCCCTTCAGAAGATCAACCCGAGGGTGTCGCTGCCCTTCTGGGACTACATGATCGAGGCCGAGACTCTTGGTCCAGAGTGAGTTGTGTTGTTGCTGTTGCTGCTGCTATTGTTGGTATTGATGTTGTACCTGTGGTCTTCTGGTTGCTTGCTACGTTGTTGCTGTCGCTGCTATTGTTGGCATTGATGTCGTAGCTGTCGTCCTCTTGTTACTTGCTACGTTGTTGCTGTTGCTTCTATTGTTGCTATTGATGCTGTATTTGTAGTCGTCCTGTTGCTCGTATTGTTTTATTTAGGAGTCGTGTTGGTGTCTTCGTTGTTACACATGCTCTCTTTTTGCAACCGAATTGTTGATTTTTGGTGACGGGATGCGCTTCGCGTTGCTCGTGTTGTTTTTGGTCGTGTTTGTGTCTTCGTTGTTGCACACGTGTCCAAGGACATGATTACGCAGTCCTTCTCCAGCTGGGCCGTCTTGTGAACACGTACGAGTAAAACTCTAGCACCTGCTTGGTCCGGCCGGCGGAGGAAAAGGCGTGCGTTAGTGCGTGCGTGAGCGATGCATACCACTCTCTTTCACAGCCAAATTGTTGATTTTTGGTGACGGCGGTTGGTGAAGCTGTGGAAAACGGCATGTGCTTCACGTCACGACCACAGCCAGCAACTCCAACACCACCGGCGAGATGACAAAAACCAACACACAAACCCAACAACGCCCGACTTTTTTTTTTTTTTTTTTTGCAGCTGGCAAGATAGCCCCATCTTCGACGACGACATGTTCGGACGCGCGATGGGTTCGGCCGACAACGGTTACCAGATCTCCGACGGCAGATTCGGCAAGATCTCCGCAATCTACGACCCTCACCACAACCTCCCCGGCAACGGGTTGGACATCGGGCCGCACCACAACGCATACGGCTTCCTCAGCGCCACCTACAACTATCAGGTGCGCAGGGAGTGGTGGTGGCTCGTGTCGTTTTATCCTTTTTTTTTGTGTGTTTTTTTATTAGTTTTTTTCCGTAGACAGCTGTTGTTTTCTGTTTCTGGTGTTTGGTTATTGAATTTTTGTTCCTTGATATGGTTGTTCCACAAGAAATGTTCGGCGTAAATAGGTTTCATTCAACTGTTGAGACAAACGTTGACCTCCCTCCCTCTCCCGGCCCCCCCGCTCCCTGCGTTTGTGATTTCGTCGTTTTGAACGCCGCCCGCTGGACAACGTTCCGCTAACAGGAGGCTCCGCTGCTCACGCGCACGAGCTCTTTCTGCAACCTGAAGGCCGACTCGGTGTTCGCCACTTCCGACGACTTTTTCAGCTGTTTCACCGCGCACGACACCTTGGGGGACTGGGAGCACTGCATGGAGAGCAAGGTACGGGCCGTTGGCGTGTGTGCCTGTTCTCGGAGCGACTGCTGTAGTGCATGCAGAAAAGGTACAATCATGGAAGTGCTGCGTGTTGGAACCTCGTCTTGACGACTGAATTGGACCTAGAAGAGGTTCCTGAACTCCCTGTCAGTTGGACCAGTCCGGATATTTGAAGGTATTGCGCGGAGACCGGAACGGCTTTAAGGTGAAGACAACAACCAAGCATCATCATCTTCCCCTCCCCCCTTTTTTTTGTTTTTGCGACAGGTGCACGGCGACATGCACGGGCTTCTCGGCGGCGCCTTCAAGTGCAGCGTCGACATGCACGAGTTCCACGAGGACCACCCCGAGTACACCACGGGCCTGCTGACCTTCGTCGTTGAGTACCTCACCACCAAGTTCTGGCCGAACAACGCCTTCATGCCGCCGGGCAGCAACACCTGCGAGACAGAGTGCGTGAGCGGACAGGAGCCCTGCGGCTGCACCTGCAGCGTCGACGCCATGGCCCTCTCCGAAGACGAGGTGTGCTTATTTGTATTGCACATTTTTTTTTTTTCTCGGAATATGAATGCGCACAATAGCGGTTGATTGTCCGCGGAATATTGTGCGCGATATGTATACACGTAATTTTTTTTTTGCCTCGTGGAAAAACAGCAGTCCACAACACATTTTCTCCTCTTTTTTTATTTTTTTCTCGAGATACAGTGCGCGACGTCTCCGGAGAACCTGTTGTTTTTGCCCCGGGGGATCGTGTGCGCGCGTGTTTGTTGGTATAATTTTTGGATGCGACACTCGCCATTTCCAGAGAGAGCCTCTCTGAAAGCGAATCCCTTCCCTCCCTTGTCTCCCCCTTTTTCCCGATTTTTTGGCACGCCAAGATATACTCGCTGACGTCAACGTTCCTGAGCCAGGCTACCCAAAGATTCTCTGGACACGCCTATATCTCGTACGATGAGTCCAGCGAACGCCCTTGGGGTTTCCAGCAGGTACGCTTTTTTTTTTTAGTTTGTTGTTCTTTTGTTTGTCGGCAACAGCGGCGATGTCAGTTTGCAGGCACCGCAGATGAACGGCGGTAAACGAAGAAGTGAGAGAGTTTCATCTACGGCCTTGCTCCTGCTCTCTTTTGTTGCATTGTTTTTTCAGCAACATTGCAACAGTACCTAGAAATTTAGGCAAGCACCGCAGAGAAGAGAGGCAGACCCAAGAATCGAGAAAACTGTGTAGCTTGTCTGCCCCCCCCCCCCGCGCGCTCCACGTGAACACCCCCCCCCGCCCCCCGCCCCCCACTTTCGCGTCTTTTTCTGCTTGCGCAGAACGGAGAACGCCTGGACGATGACGCCACGATGTTTTTGCTGCGGCAAGTAGTCAAGCTGGGGTGCGAGCCGGGAGCCGTGGGCGTCATGGTGGGCGGCGTCAGCCCAATGGACCCTTTGTTCTGGGTGAGGATACAGAAGACGCCGCCGCTGAATAGCTGGCCGGGAGTTTAGGATTCGGCTACGTACGGTTTATCTTGCCTTGGATGCCTAGCCTTAACCCTTGAGGCTGCAAAAATGACAACACTTGTAAGAATGCGTGCTAAGACGCAAGCAGGCTGCGACAGACTTGACCTTAGGAATGGGTGGTGAGTATTTATGAGACAAGCAGATCCTAGGTATATTTTGTGGAGGTTCCCCGCTGACGAAATATGAAATACTACAATAGCCACGGGGCAAAAAAATAGCTTCTTTTGTGGTGGCGCGTACTGCAGTCGATTGTCTGCGAGGTGGTGACGAGGCCGGGACGTTGTGAAAGGACGATGCCGCGGTGCTGTGAGAGTGACCTTGAGAGTTTACCGAGCGAATGACAGACCCAAACGCTTTGTAACACCGTCGTTGACTGTCGTGCTGCTGCTTCCAGGTACTGCACCCGATGTTCGAGAAGGCCTTACACGTGTTGTGGATGTCTCCCACGTACCGTGACGGTTACAGCTTCGGTTGGGCCGATGGCTCGTGCTCGGGCAGCAAGGTGGACGATATCCTTCCGTTCACAGGTGCGTTTTGGTGTTGTCGTCGGCGTGGCATGTTTTTTGTGTGGTTGGTGTTTTCTTGTTGATGTTTTTGTTGCCTTCTGCTGCTCCTGCAGTGCTGCTGCTGCTGTGTTGGTTGTTACAGCAGTCGTTGTTGTCTTGTGATTCAGCCGACACCCTTGCTTGCCTCGGGAGGAATTGAATTGACGAAAGCCCATGCACACAACGAACACGTGTTTGGTCGGTGCAAACGCCCGCAAACAGACTTTGTAGGAGTCGTTTTTCTTGAATCTGCTCCGTGTAGTTGCTGCGCCAGTTGATCAATATCGTGTGTGGTGTGTGTATTTTTTGGCAGCGCAAGACCTGGGCATGGGAGCGGGCACGGAACTCCTGACGAACCGCGAGCTGATGGACATACTGCACCCGAGCAACCCACGCCTTCCCTTCGTGTTCGAGAAATTCGACACTTGGGGCACCGCAGAATCATGGGATTTCTGCCCGGAGTGTGCTGCTGCGGCGGCGGAATCCGGTGGTGGTTCTCCCTCCCCTGCTTCTGCGGAGGGATAGGGGTGTAGAATGAGCAGCGTGGATGGCCTACACAAGGTCAGTGAGTTACGCTTGGAAGACCTCGCCCACCGTCGGCACGCTCGACTTGGACGGCCGGATGGGAGGGTCCAAACGGCGGTAACGACATTGTTTTCTCTTGGAGGCCGCTACAATTTGTAGATATATACCCATTTTTATGTCGTTTTTCACCCACAAGAAGAAGAAAATCACTGTGCCATGATCTGGTAGTAAAACACTTGTTGAAGCAGCGGGCCCGATCTCCTGTTGTGTATCGGTGTGGGTGTGTGTTTTGTGGTTGGTCTGTTTCGTGAGCACATGTTTGTTCTATGGAAGGGCGCAAGTCGTTTTATGCCATGAGCAGTGCGTGGAGTGCTATTTTACGGTTTAGGAATGTTCATTTTTTTCGTTGATAGAATCACTACAGTTAAGTTGGATGTCGTGGGGTGCGTTGTGGCACCACATTTCTATAGGTTTATATCGTGTGTGTACTGTGTAAATGCGATTGTTTTGCTGTATGAAATCCACCCCTCTAGACCTAACCCATCTTGGGAAAATGAGCGTCTCACCCACACCTGGCATTGGTTTATTGTGGTTCACCGTAGTATTATGCACGGTTTTGTAAGGTATTTTTCGCGGGGGTTGAGGAAAGGTTTTGATTGTTTTTTCATTGATTGAGGTTTCGCTTTCTGTTGTTTTCCTAGTCCCATGTAGTTCCTCCGCGTGGTGCAGCTCGGTTTGTTGCCTGTCGAGCTTCGATTGGCTCGGCTTTGCGTTGATGAGCTCTAGCGCGGATGTTCCGCTAGAAAATACTCCGGAGGAATGGGTTTTTGTAGCAAGTCGGTGTTTTGTTTTTACCCTAGCTGAGCCCGCGAGCCACACCGACAACATAAGTGTAAGAGTAGCGGTTGCGAAACGATTTCTCTAAGCCGGTGGAGGTTTTGTTGGCTTGGCTTCCGGGATGTTTACCTTATGATTTTCCGAGGTTGCCACGCCTGACTCTCAACCCGTTTGTATTTGTTCGTTTCTCATTGCCTGGCCCCGGCCGCCCTAAACGGTCGACTCATGAATATTTGTGTTTGTGTGTCTGTGCCTATAAATAACTTTTGACGGGAAAAAAACCGTGTGTTCCTCGTTCGATCTTTGGGGTTAAAAGCGGTTTTCGAACGCGGACCGTGTTTTCTTTTTTCTTTTCGCGTGAAAAGGGCGCGTGGGGTGTGACCTGATAATCGGTGTGTGTGTGTTTGCCTCCGTTGGCAAACGTGATGAGGGCGAACGTGCGCTGGCCTCTCACGGATGTTTTCGACTCTGCTTGCGTTCGTCTTTGGTATCACATATCTAGAACTACTGGGCTACTGTATCCCCCCAGCAAGACCGGCGTATTTCTCACCAATGGGGCCCGTCCACCCTGCGTGTTGAACGTACTTCTGTTGAGACTAGATCCACGTTTCGCTATTCCCTCGCAATCTCCCCGCGAGCGGTGGGGCTTCCCTATTGGGTTTATCGTCCCATTTGTTTTGTTGTTTTTCTGGTTTTGGGGGGAGATTGTGACAACGGCAGGTCGGCTGTTCCCGTTGAGAAGACTAGATATAAACGAGAGGAGGTAGATGGAGGCCGGGGACGCCCGGGCCGATGTCCAATTCGGAGATCAGCAAGCAACATCTAGAAACGTTTCCTGAACCTCTACAAAGACGGCAACAGACGTTCAACGTGGGGATCGTCCCACGGCCGTGCGTTTGGTGAAACGCCAATAATTGTTGTCACATGTTGTGGATGCATTCCAACATGGATAGGGTTGGTGGGGAGATCTACACTGCTACCCAAATTTCGAGTGCAGAAAATCCTGGCCGAAAGTGTTCGACTCCTGGGTTCTGAAGAGAGCACCACAAGCGTACCGTGCTTGGACGGCTGTGAAGCGCTGGTGTACATGCATGTAGCTTGGCAAGCTCACAGGTCTGGGCCGAAAATATCCCTGGGAAATATGTCACTCATTCACTCCCCCGCCATGTAGCTTGGCAAGCTCACAGGTCTGGGCCGAAAATATCACTGGGAAATATGTGATTCATTCACTCCCCCGCCCCCAACGACACGATCATTGTAAACTGGTACGGGCTGGACTTTACAATCTCTTGGAAGCAATCACTTGTCAGTCCCCAACTCCCGAGCAAATAAATCTAGCACTCCAAGAGGTCTTTCTTTCCCATCCGTTGTATGAAAATGTACATCCATGTAGCTCCGGCCAAACCCTCCTGTGCGCGGCGCATTCTTGGGCATGCGCACCCCGATGCATGTCTCGTTGCGCTCAAGTCGTGTTTTCGGGTGCCGTTTATTATTGGCACAGCCCCACATTTTTTGTACCCTAACACACTCTTTTTGTCTTCGGGTATGGATGTTGTAGTGCGAAAACTCGACCGCCAATGTTTTCTCACTCATCTCCTGAAACCGGTGCTCGTTGCTGTCTTTCTGCAACCATTCTGAAGTACGAGTTTGCCACGAAAAACGTTTACTGCATAGTACGATTCACTCCTCCTCCGCGTGGGTGGAGGATCGGTCCATGTCACCATGGGAAATGGCCACCGTGCGTTATCGTCTCATTCTGCACACGGCTGGCTGTGAATATATTACTATGTAGATGGTGTTTTTCACTCTAGAGAGGATTAAAAATCCAGTTGTTCACTTTCGAGAGGACGGAGGCGCGTCCTTGCTGCCGTTGCTGCCCTCCGAACATCTGGACCGCCTTCGCCCCGTCGGCGCAACCCCGCTGCCGTGGCCACCACTACCACCGCCACCGCTGCCACCGGAAATTGTGCCGCCTTTCTGCTGATGATGGGAACCCGTAGAAGCTTTCATTGCCAGCTTGGCCTTACGCTCGGCGTCCTTGCGGTACCGACGGAGGATTTCGCTGGAAAATGTGGTTGAGGAAATGGAAGCGAGGTGAGTGAAAGACGATAATATATTCATCATTAGATCACATGCACGATACTTTAGAACTCGTTTCCTTGGGTGACCGATACGGAAGATTGAAGTGTTTACGTGCCGACAAATTCGTGTCAGAATTCGTGTCAGCAGTCATCGGTTAGCTAGGAGCTTTCATGCCACGGAGAATGTCACATGTCACTGGAAGACCTTAATTGAGGAGATCGGGAAGGGATACTTGTAGACGGTTTGGCTAAAACTCACTCGTTCCATGGGAAGGGAAACCGGTTAGTTGCTTGCATGTAGAAAACATTGGTCAACAATCACCCCTTGGGATGTCGGATTTCGAAGGGCAAAGAGCTTACCACTAAATATCTCCATCGGAAGGGAAACCTGTTAGTTGCTTGCATGTAGAAAACTTATTGATCAACAATCACCCCTTGGGATGTCGGGTTCCGAAAGGGCAAAGCTTTCCGCTAAATGTCTGAAACCGCATCCAGAAGAATAGGTCCTGCTTGCTATGTCAATGGAGTACGTAGCTGTGATAAATTCTTTGGAATACATGTAGTAGTCAAACCAAAGTCGGAAATCGTCGCACTCGGAATGAATGCATCCCAAACGAAAGAGCCTTGGGTCAGAGTCGCGGTTAGTGGGCAAATATTGGTACACAGGCGACGAATTCACTCAGACACACGTGGGTGTGAAATATTGCCCTTCGATTGCGTCTGCTGTGAGTGTCCACGGGCTAGTATTTCATGGAGGCGGACCGTGTCTTGCCAACAGCGCAGGCAGTGAGGCTGACCCCAGGGCCTTCTACCTCGGTGTATGTTCGAGAGAATGAGGTAACGAGAGTGGGTGGGGGTGTCCGGAAGGCGGACTATATCTTAATCGTACCGCACACACGATTGTGACCCCCAGAGTCTCCGCATAATGGTCGGGTCCACCAACAAAACAAGGATGATGTCTGTTTTGTACAGCCCACTGACCCGTTCGACTCACTCTCTTTGCGCCCGGTGCTCGTCCACGGCCGCCTCGGGGAAGGGATTGTCGGTATCATTGTTGTTGTCGCCACCGTCGCCCTCGTCCCTCTTGCCACTGCCGCCGTAGTCGTCGCCGCCGCCGCTGTTGCCTACGAGCTCATCTTCGGTGTGCAGTGAACGGTGACGTTGTTGTCGGACATTACAGAGGTGCGCCACGGGGTGGGGTGTGCTTTTGCCCATGGCCGTCGGGATCCTAGTCCCCTAGTCGCTTGGTTGTCTCTGTAGTCGATTAGGGCCTCAGGCGTGCGGTTCAAGGCGAAACGTGATGGCCTACGTCCAACGTTGTGATTCTAAAAAACACGATTGGAGCGGCGTTTTGGTTGGGGCGTTGTCCATTCATTCTAAATTCGTGTCCGTTTGCCTACAAGGCAAAGCAGGTATGTTCGCCTGAGTTACGCGGTGGCGTGCGGATGGGGTAGCATCGCCATCATGATGCCAGAAAAATATCATAGAACAGTTGCGGTTACACCAACGAGAACGCCGCCACCACTGCCAACACCAACCTCAGCAACACCAACAACCACCGCATCCGCCGCCAAACAACACCAACAACATCAACAGCGAACCGGAAAAAGATCACAAGCGGCTGCACAATGACCACCCCCGCCACCGCCGCCACCAGCAGCATCGACATCAGCGACCCACCAGCGCGATCCGGAGCACCGAATACGTCTTCCACGGCGCGCTTCCAGACACCCATGGCCCCGTCCGCGATGCCGTTTCCGGACAAGAAGTCTTCCCGCCGCGTACCCGGAGGCGTGTTTTTGAGAATCGAATCCAGGGAGTCGCACCCGGCTGTCACCGCCAGCGGGCGCTCTGGGTTGGTCTCACTCGATTTTCGACTACCGGCACGAAACAGGTGCTGGAAAGCAGCAGGCGGTGGTGAAGGGTGTGAGTGCTTGTACTTGCGGCTTGGAATCAGAGCTGGTGAGCGAGGAGGGAAGGCGGAGCGTGCGGCCTCTTGTTTCCGGCTTGCTTGTGTGTTTTCCTGCGACTATCATCGACCGCGCTGAGTGTGTTGAAACAGGACTGGGTCCAGCCTCCGCATCTTCGGTAACATGCAGCTCACGGCCGACATTGTGCTGTTTCCTGCATGCTTTCCTCTTACAAGACTGAGGTGGAGCGGGCCGTATGTTTCTCAACCATGCAGTTATTGCGAGCGGTACGGGAGGTGTATTCCCACGGCATGCGTGTGGCCTGCTACCCGCAGGAGGAACCCGAGTCGACAGATCCTTGTCTACGGCGCCGCTACTGGCCAGTTTCAACACCAGCGGTATGCACTTCCGAGTGGAAATGGCTCTCGTTCACCTGTTGAAACGTCTAGTAAAATCTCACGCAGATAGGGGTGATGATGGCAAGGGGGGATCCCAGCCCAAAGGAACCCGGGGTCCGGGCGGATGGGAAGGGAGGAACCGTGGAAACGGAGGAACTTCGTTCGCATTGTATGTTGACCGGGATGGTTTGTTGTTGGCAGCACAGTCACCGCCATATTTCGCCACTGTTATTGTCGCTGGATTTTCCGCTGAATGTTCCGCGCGCTGCTGCGCTTAAGAGCGCCTCATCCATGAAAAGAAGTTATCCGCTAAATCAATACTACTACAGAGCCGCTGACCTCACGCAACGTGCTCCATGGTCGACGTGAGGCACTCAATGAACCGTGGTGTATGGATGAATGGTGAATGTTGCGTTCTCGAGTCAGAGGGCCGACATGTTGTGTTGTGGTGTAAGGATGCAGATTAGTGATGTTGTGTCAACTCCGAACCGACACCTACGACGTTATTTTTTCGGGGTACCCTCACCCTCCAAGTGGACCCCCCACGCGAACAGCGCGTTCTCTTTGGCAGGGACGCTCCGCTTAACACCGCAAAACGCCTAACACATCAAACGTCGAAAATCCCTGAAAGCGTACTTCACCTATGGGGCAGTGTGTAAAACGTGGGTAGGTAAGTCACGTGTCCTGGTATCTAGTAAAACCGACCAAGCGGAGATGATTCGAATGGCCAGAATTACAAGTTTTGCCGGTGATCTGCCGTGCCCTATCGCGTCGACGCACGGTTTCGAGCCGAGGTATGTACGCACAGGAATATTTTTCTATTCACTACCTCAACCAGACACTCCATTATCACCCACAGCAATACATGAGCTGTCTTCTTACCGTGTTAAGGGTCAGGCGGAGGATGTCCTTGAGCTTTTTGTCCCTGCTCGAGCAGAAGAGCAGCGACGCGCCGTTGATGTGAGCCACGAATCGGAGGGCCTGGGCCAGTATTCTTTTCCGGGCGCTCTCTTGGTTCTGTGGGATAACACAAAAAATAACATGGGGATTTGGTTCGAGGAAACCTACCTTTGTATGCACACGTAAGACTGCTACAGGGAGGAACGTCATGAGGCTTTGCCCAATGCCAGCGTCGAACGTATGCACGCATGGTCGCTGTTCTACATACGTCAAACGGCATGGCTTCGAGAAGATCATTGCTTGGAAGGAAGGGAAAGAGAAACGGGTGTCAAGTCGACCTTTGTGAAGAATCAGACCGAAATGCTGTTCCGATGTACGAAGCATATGCATGGGTTGGTACTGCCTATGGGACAAGCTGTCGATCGTTCTATCATTTGCACTACGTTCTCACTCCCTGCTGATCGCACCTCTGAAATCAAGAACAAACGCCCAACCACCGGGGAGTGTACTTAAATGCTGGCACGGCGAACCGCACAACCATACCCGAATTGCACATTCCTTGTTTCGAATCTACTAGACCTATCCGCAGAGGTGCAACCAGAAAGCCGAGGCACTTCAGACAAGACTCCGTAAATGCGGCGCGCCTGACTCATCGACAACGCGGACCTTGAAGACGTCGTACTTGTTGCCCACGATCACCAGCGGCACCGGGCAGGGCCGAACCGCGCGCAAGTCAGGGTGGTCCCGCCCGAGCTTCGCGTACGTCTTTCGCTTGAGGGTTTCCGCGAAGGTGGGGTCTCTCTTGCCCAGCTCGCGCACACAGACCTTGACGCAGGCCTGCGACGATGAAACGTGCGTCAAGGTAGGGGCTGCGCTTCAAAAACTCTTGCTTTGGCCAAGCATCGTTTCTTGTTTGTCTGTGGGGTATTCCCGCGGGGACGATAATATTGGTATAAGAACAGGATTATTTGACTATGCAGGTTTTAGTATAGAATTCCTGACTGGGCAGCACCTGTTCTTAGCCAAATTCTCAGCTACCAAGCTCTTACGTGTGGGCCGTTTCTGTTCGTGAGGAATCGCATGCGGCACAGCAGTGTTGCAGCTGCCCGTTCTTCCCTGGAGTTATTGTGGATGGAGCAGGGGCCTTTGGAACGGTATTTGCCGCGCGGTGGTTCCGAAGCGAAACACGCTCTGCTGTGACTTCTATGAAAGACTATTTGCTGCACCTCAGTTTCGTAGATGCCCTCGCCGTTTGACCGATTTTAGAAATTTGTAATTTTCTCGAAATACAGGTCAAACTCCCACCGCATGCAAAACTAATTGTACAGCAGTTGTTCTTGAACACTACTGGTAGGTTCCGACAAGAAAATATGGCTTGCGAAAGGAAATACGGAAGTGCATGTGTTTCCGGTTTCTCGCTTTCACCAGCAGTTAGATTGTGACCACAGAAGGCGTCCGTGTCAGTTGGACCAGTATGGACATTAGAAGGTACTGAGCGGAGACCGGAACGGTTTTATTGTTTACACAACAACAACAACAACAACAACAACAACAACAACAACAGCGGACGAGAGCAACAAACACCTTGATCTGATCCGTCCATTGCAACAGGTGTGGGATGACGCTGCTCGGCCTGGATAGGTCCACCACGATGATGTAGAGAGCGTCGTGAAAGCGATCCGGAGTGATGGGCACCCGTACGAGGTCGCTGACGTGGGATCCTCCCCCAAGCTCCCATATGTGCGCCACATCCTGCGCGGTTGACGAGGGACCGGACGTATATCTTGGTTACCTTTGTGCGAGGATGAACATGATGATGAGCAGGAGTTCCCACAAGAGAACGGCATATCGACGGGTTGCGTATGACGCCACCAAATTGTCCTGGAAATGCGCACGACATCACAGAAGCACTGCACGCTGCTTCGAAGGGTGTGGTAACCTCACGGATAAATATACAGTACCACAGAATTGCGCTGGCGCTTTGACGCGACCGACATGCATGACCCCAACACTCTAAAACAAAACCCTGCGATCCTCCCGAACAATATCGCTATAGCCTACCTTCGGCATATTTGCTGCACTTGCGCGCCTGGCAAACATGTACTCTAGCGCAACCGTCGGCTTTGGGATGCTGTCGTTGTGTGGGTTGAGGTAGGTGTTGAGGAGCGTCGACTTCCCCGCTCCAGGCATGCCAACGCAAAGCGCGTAGGATGCGAACGCGCACACCGCCGTGATCTTGCCCGCCGAGTCAGCAGGATCGCCTCCCTCGCCGGGGACCTCAGCTTCGCCATCATCCTTCACTTCATCCGCTTGCTGCTGGCGGGTGTTGACCGAGCTGGTGGCGTACAGCTGCCGAGATACCAAGCTCCAGATGTCCTCACCCATCGCTCCCTCTGTCCTGTGGCACAGCAAGAGTCACACGATCTTGTCGAGTGTTGTCGGTGTGATCGGCTTGAATTCACAGGTGTACAGTTGCGCGGAGGAGCAAGGATATGTTCCGGAAATCTTTCCCTAGCTAGGCGGCGAAGCCCCAACCGCCAAGGGCTGGGCGCGGCGGAATAACACCACTCCAAGACTCCAAGGTCCAAGATATATGCAATCGTGTTTTCGAATCTTTTGAGAGACCGCGCGAAGTCGAAATGTCACTTTTGACCGGCGAAAAATAAAAAATTCGCCGCGAGCGTTTCACGGTGGTTCCGCCGCATGGGAGCTGTGCGGGGATACCAAAGAGAACCAATTTTCAGGCTATTTTCAGCGCAGGGTTCTCTCCGCCCGCTGCAGGCAGTAGAGAGTAGAAGCGACAGCCGCTCAGCCTGGGAGAGCAGGGGGAAAGTTCATCTCGAGAGCAGGAGGAATTCCTTTCCTGGAAACGCAGAGACGGCAGTGTTTTTGTTGCTGTTCTGCACAAGCAGCAGCGGTTGGAAGACAGCCTTTGGACTGAAAACTTGCACCGCAGCAGAGACAGACAGGTGATGCAAGTCATGGAGAACGGGCCGAGCCACACGATGGCGAGCGCGGGAGGGGACGAGCCGAACAGCACCAAGGCCAGGCTGAACGGCATCCTCGAGAGCTTCCAGGCGTTCGATTCGGATATGAAAACGGGCACCAGGGTACGGAGAGAAAACGATGAGCACAGAATCGCACAGCTCACCGCCGAGCTGACCCGACTGGAGAAGACGCTAAACCAGGAGATCAAGCGGAGGGTGGAGATGAACAAGAGCGTACAAGTGGTAAGTGGGAGCACCGCGGGGCACTGGTGGCCATCTGTGGTGCACCCCGGTATTGGATACGTATACACACATAAAGAACAAGGGAATACGACGCGGTTCAATTTCAAGTTCTCACCCGGCCCGACGCACTTCCCGCATGTTTTTTTTGTTCCTACAGTATGTATACGGAGAGGGATGTGTTGTAGCTCCCGCACTTGAGATCTCGGTAGTGAGGAACTTCATGGTCAACATGATTTCCAACATAAGAACCTTGGCGCACCTTGTTGTTAGCCTGGTTAAGGACCCCTGCACTAATCCCTACCACTTGTTATAAGCAGCCATTTGTACCCTACAAGAGGAAGGAAGCACGCATACATAGCAAAGGACAGATCAGATCCCTTCAGGTCGAGCTAAATATTTGCTCTTTTGAGGGGTGTGTCCCTGGTGATCGGTAGGAATAGGTGATGGTGTAAGCTTTCCTGAGGTGGTTCTGAAGGACGATCGGTGTAAGTTTGCCCGAGGTGATGTGAAGGACAGGTGATCGGGGTATGTTTTCCGGTGTATGTTTGCTTCATGGTGATCTGAAGGACATATGTAGTTGAGCTAGCTTACGATCTGTCCTGTGTGTGGAAAGCCAAAGAGCACCCCAACTTCGGCCGAAACTACAGGTTCTTCGGGGCGGTGGCTATCTGTGTCCGCCCTCGAAAGACAAAATAACAGCAGGTAGCACGGATATTGTTGGGAAAAATGGGGTTGGCATGCAAAGCCGAGAGCATCTGCGGTCGAGAGTGTCCGCGAACCGGGGCCCATTATATCAACCACGATCCATTCGCTTTTAAAGCATGGGCCCGGAAGTAAGAGACGTCATAATCAGGTCGAGGCTCAGTTTCTTTTTGTTTCGACGCCACTGTCAAGCACGGGTCGTTTCACGTTGTCATGTATATATATTTAAAAGTACTTCGTTGAGTTTGGTGTGTGGGTTCATCGCTCAAGGTGTGTGTGTTTCTCAACGCTATTTTTCTTTTGTGTTCGTGAAAATGTGAGCCCCTGTTTCTCAGCAAACCTTTTCTTAACTGCAGGCCTGTACTACTGCACAAAACGCGGCGTCGCAGACCCATTCCCCGAACTCGCCCAAGGTTGCTTAAGGCTCGCCCAAGGTTGCTTAAGGTAACACACCCCCTGGACCGATTTCCTGCGCTCGATTAGTCCACGACGAAGAGCATGCCGAGTTCAAATGATACGTCTTCAGACAGCTCTGGACGAAACGGTTCCAACGCTGCAATTCTCGGCGCCGTCATCGTTTGTCCTGCCGAGAAATCGCGAAAATCGGCCCAAAAGGGTGTCATAATTTTGACAACCTACGTTGGCGGTGTGAGATACTGCCGTTGACCAGCTGTTCGGAGGATTGGGTCTGTCAGTGGGTAGTGAATGGTGTGTACCCAGTATGACTCATACTCTTCTTTCATTTGCCGAACGTTTGACAGTCGCGGGACGTCCTATCGGTTTATTTTGTCTTTTTCCCATTTATCGTCCCTTGCACGCTGAACTAAATATTGGCTCCATACACTCTCCAAACACACAATGAAGGCAACGGAGGTTTTGACACGGTTGAGGATGCGCGAATTGGTATTTTAATTATACTTTTGTTGATCACTTCGCGTTGGCAACAGTGCACCGCGTTTATGCACGAGCAATGCAACGCGATAATCGTAGCTGCCCTTCTCCTAAAACACGCAACAGCATTCGGGGGGGGAAACCGAGGCAGAGAAACACAACGTCTCGACACCCCCTGCCCAACAAGCCAAAACTACGTGGAAACCCCATCTCCCGCTCCCCCGCTTGCTCCTCAAGGACTGGCGAGAGGAAGCGAGATGGAGGACAGTACCATAGGTGGCATGACGCAAGATATCACACCCCCTTGGAGCGAAATATCATAGTGGCGATGCCCAAAAACGGCGGCGATGAAGTCGTCTCGTCGGGAGATTTCCGAGAACGTATCGTTTCATGCATATATCGTCTTCATCGTGGAGTATTGGAGCTTTTGAAAATCGGTCAAGGGAGTGTGGTATCTTGCGCAACACACCATACCAAACGCTTCCCCCCCAAAGCGGTAAAACTCCGTCCTGTGTCTCGCGCACTCGCTCGCACGGCTCAACTACCCACCAGTGGGGGGAAAGCGAGGTGGAAAAGATGTCCGAGCAGCTGCAGTCCATGGTGATCGCGCGGAGCGACTCTATCGCGGGCCGGCTGGACGACATCGTGGGAAAAATCGACGCCCTCGAGGACAAGTTCGACGTGGAGATGGCCAAGATTCCGGTGGACATCAAGCAGCGGGGAGAGGAGCTTCACAAGATGCTGGTGAGACATCGTGCTGCTTGCGTCAACGCCGATGATAGAACAATCAACATTCGATACTGAACCCCCCAATAAGTTTCGAACGCCCCCGAAGGAAAACAAACTCGGTTTTTCACCTTGGAGCCTTCGCTTTTCTTCTTCTTTGTTTCCGGAATACAAGTGAAAGATGTAGACTGGCTGCGACACACACACCCTCACGGGGGTCCCAGATCATGGCCTCAAGAAATGCTTTCGGTGTTCAGCCGCACTGAGACTGGCCTCGTTTCTCTGGTCAGCCGGCTTAGCGCGGTCGATGCTGGTGATCGTCTTCACACACACACATACACACCAGTGCCAGCGCATTCATAAGAGACCAGAGAAGCTGGACTTAAATTACCGCTCCCCCGTACCCAAGGCAAGATCACCACGGCCTTCGGGTCGAGTTAGTTGTTCGGCACAGCCCCTTTTCGTCGCCAAGGCTGAAGAACTCTTCTTTTTCGTTTTGAAAAACTGCTTTTTTTGTCGAACATCCCAGACGTTTCTTGTTGTTGAGAACGATGTTTTTTCTAATATGAGGACTTCTTGAATTATATAGGGCGTGTGCGCTGGAAAGCCACAACTTGCTGTTGTCGCCCCGGCTGTCTCAACCCACATTGACGACTGTCGTGGAAATTCCACGATTCCCGTGAAAGAAGCGGTTTCCCGCGGGTATTTCTAGCGACGAGCACACCTTTTGAACGAATCTTACCTCACAAGACCCGAGTGGTCGAGGAAAAAGCGCACAGGATGTAAACACATTCCTTTCGGAGGTTGGGACCGGTTCACTAGCAACAATATCGTCTTCGCCTTCAGGCCGTTCCTAGGTTTCCGAGGGGAGTTAGGACGGAGGAGGAGGCGGGGGCGGGGGCAGGTGTGCCCCGTGTCTGCGCATGGGGAACTGTACTGTCCTTACTCTCCCCTTGAGTTTGCCCGAGTTGGATTGGAGTTTTCTTCTTTCTGTCTCCGTCGAGCCTTCCTTTCTTCCATCTGAACGTATTCTAAATTGTGCGCCGCCGTTTCGGGATGCCTTCTGTTTCCTTTTTTTTGTGCGCCGAGATGAGAGGACGAAGTCTTGCTGCTTCAGGCCGTTTCCTTTTTCCCTCTTATTATATCGCAATGAATCGAGTTCGAAGGGTCTAGGCTAAATTAGTAGGAAATGGCGTCAGCGAAGCGCTTCCGGTGTTTCTACGATTCACCAAATAGCATATCTTCCCTGTGGGTAACAGGCTCTTGTTGATATTTTTTTCTCCGCTTTTCGCGGTTTTGCCGGCGGACGGAACATTAACATTTACTGAGAAAGTTCATCTTGGGGATGCATTCCGTGTTTTCTCCCGTTTTTTCCGGGCCATGGCGGCAGACGGACTTTGAGAACAAGTTCGAGGCAGAAAGGATGTCTCGCTTGGAGAGAGAAGGTCGCATCCTCAAGCAGCTCGCGGACCATGAGCAAGAAGTGGCGACCGACTTCGAAACGGAACGGGTGAGCCTGAAACGGAAAACACACAGAAAACAAGGATGGTACAAGGGATTCACTTCATTCCAAAGTGTGAGAGAAAGAGAAAGGTATGCCGAGGGCTAGGGCTAGGGTCACGGGTACTGTTACCGTTACGGTTACGGTTACGGTTACGGTTACGGTTACGGTTAGGCCAACCCAAAGAGAGCCGTTAAGGCGTAACGAAGGGAACGTTATCAGTGGACGAGGGCCAGAACGGTTCCTGGTATGCAGGCAGCAGCAGCAACGACAGTGCGTCTACCGTCGGAGGAAACAGTATGTGGTGACGACCATCGAGCTCGAGGTATGAGAGAAATGTAAAAATATACAAGATGGAACTCTCGACCTGTCTTTCTTTTTTTTTTTATGGGGTGGAACTCCAAAGGACAATGCGTGGATGTGACCCCCAACCCGTTGTCTTCTGCCCGCAATCGCAGAATGAACGTCTTACTGTGGAACCTCCACCCTGAAATACACGCTTGAAGCGGAATATTTCACTCCACGAGTGTTGTGTGCGACGTAGATCTCTTTCAATTCCATTCTTCGAAAAGCAGCACGAATATCGTTGGCATCAATACCACCCCCCCGAGCGCGTATTCAATGCGGCCGGCGCGTGGTTTTCTGGAAACCCCGAGTCTTGGCTTTTCTG